TCATGCGTAATAAATATATTTTTATGATTTAATTTCTTGATTAATTAATAATTTAATATGATGGGCTTTTTAAATCATGTGATTTCATTTCAAAAATCACGATTTCGATTTGTTGATCAATGCATCGTCTTATTACTAGATTTGGAAATTTTGTGTAATAGGGGACGGTCCCTCCTGGACTAATACGATATACTATTTCTTACACATGATCGTTATAGTTGTAAAAAATATAAAGCAGTGCTTAATATAATAGACTGTGTCTTCAAATATAAGGCTTCAGTTCTGCTTAGATTGAAGAAAAGTTCTGAGGTTGTTAAAGCATTTAGGAAAACATATGGAAATCAAAATAATCCATTGACATGGCCAAAGCTTTTACAATGCGATAGAGGCCGTGAGTTTATAGGTAAGACCTCTTGATTAATGCAAAAACATAATGTTGCAATTCGAGTGATTAGCCTATATAGCTATAGAGGACTTGCTTTTGTGAAGCGTTTTAACCAAACACTTACAAAAATTCTATACAAAATCCAGTATGCTATTGAATCAATAACTTCTGATCCTACATTAATAAGAGCATGGGTTAGATATATACCAGTAGTTATTGATTACCTAAATAATTATCCCACGCGTCTTATTCAAGAACCGGGATTAGAAAAGTGGGAATTTGAGCCAGTGAAAACCATTGCTTTAGAATGAGTCGAATTTAGACCATCCACAAAATATAAGCATCCAGTTGGATGAGATGAAATAAGATTAAAGAAAGGAGATACCGTCCGCTACCTACTTGCCAATGCAGAATGGAAAGGAGGTATAGAAAATCAGAAGCGTGCAACTGACTCTACATTCAGCCCAAGTCTTCATAGAATCTGAAAAGTTATTGTTATAAAGAATGAGCCAGTTTTATATTATCTCAGGAGTGATGATGATGAATTTGCTCTAAAGCGAGGATTTGTAAAAGAGGAGCTCATGTTAATAGCTGATCCAAAAAGGGTTAGTCATCCATCTCAAAGCATATTATCTGTACATATTGCATATACTTTCCCTATCAATAACGAGCTAGATCAAGCTATTGATTATGTTAGAAGACGTGGTGGTCAATGTCTAGAAAGAACTGGATGAATAAATGGTCATAACATATATCTTTGGTCTTGTGAGAATGGTGTGCATTAGTGGGAGTATTCACTAAAATATATCATGAAAAAATTTGAATGGTGTCTGCTTTGTCATCATAGAAGTGGTAAACGTCAATGCCGATATATTTTTGAAGTTCTACTAGATAAGAAATTTCCACCATGTAGAGCTAAGTTCTTAGATGAGTTACACTTGGATGAATATAATAAGAAATTGTGTCTTGCATTCGAATTCCATAGTCCTCAACACTATCATTATAATAGCTTTTACCACTGGGAAATGAAAATCTAAAATCACAAAATATGCGCGATCAGAAAAAGTGGAATATATGCAAGAACCAAGGTATATGCCTTATCGAAGTGTCTCATACTGCAGATTTATATCCGTTCATTAGATATACATTAATCGAGAAAGGATTCTTGGATAAAATGAAGGAATAAAAAGAGAGGACCTATAAATCAGTCTAATATTTTTTAGTATATCATTATTAAGTGTTAGCTTACCATGAAAATAAAAAAACTCGAACCAGTTGATAGGCTTGTATACCATATTAATGAGATTAAAGATGCCTCAAAATACAATGGAAATTCGAGTGTTTCCCAGTGGTCTTTCACTTTACTAATCTGTGACCGTACTAATTCAAAGAAGACTAATGAGGTTCTCAATCTCATGCTTGAAAATAAGCTTTATCAAATGTTTAATGGAAAGAAAGAAGGAATACGTTATATCAAGAATGATGATTTGCTATTAATTGGCCACAACCTTAAGAAGCCAAATATATGTACCTTAAATTAGCGTATCAGATAATTGCAAATAGTCTAAAGTCCTATCATGAAAATATTACATTCTGAGCTTTGAAGCCTGATAAAGTCCCTAAGGTGGATTTGTTTTCTCCAGATAGAGATACAGTACCCATATTCAAAGATGTATATGCTGATCTAAAAAAATTGCAGGAGAAGATCATCCCTTATTTTGTTGAGGGATGCTACTACAATGTCAGTTCAATATATGTATCCCAGAACTACTTTGATTGCCCAAAGATAATACGAAAAAATCTTACACATGTCTGCCTATTTAATGGATCGTGCATTGCAGACGAGCTGAGCCGTATTGTGCGTCAATATGCTAATAACTGGCGTAGTGTGATTAAGATTATTGACAAGATTTTATGTAAACATAAATTCATTGTTTTTGATTTAACTGTATCCACAAGCATCCGCACAGGATATATGTCAGCTGGGATATGCTACTTCTTAGTGAGAATCCAACTTCATAGATGCTAACTCTTTTTTCTTAAAACTATTTAGTAAGACGAAATGTATATTATTTTTGGGTTTCTAGATCATGTTCAGATTCACTATGCCTCTTCGCCTATAATTTCCTTTCATGAGTGCTAGAATATATTTCCAGTTCTATAGTCACATTACTATTCTTCATTTGAAAAGTATCTGATCAACAAGAACGATAATTTTCCTGTCCTTAGTGAAAATAATATCCTCCAGATTCTGGCATTTATTCTCTAACACGTCAATGGATTTTTCAGCAGACGCAATAGCTTTTTTTGTATCAGGAATTATATTTTTGAAGAAAGCTATCGAATCTGATAATTAGGTAACTTTCCTACTACTTTCCTTCAAAGACCTGGTCATGGCTATCTCACGAGACTTATATTGCTCTTGTAAGTCGAGAAGCTCTTCAATCTTTTTTCCAATACCTGCTTTGATATACACAATTCCTCATTTTCTTTTCTTAACAAATTTTCACAGTCACTAGTAATAGGCTTCATCTTCTGATGCTCTTTTTGCTTAATATAATTTTCAACTGCCTTATTTAACAAATCTTCCACTTTTGGATGAATACTACTTGCCTGTTCTAGCGATAATGGATGTTTTCGTGATGTAAGATGTTGTTATGTATCTATTTTGATAGAATAAAAAAGTTGGTTAAGTTACTTTGAGTAATATACGTGAAAAGATGGTGTTAGTATACCAGTCATATCTTATGGATAATAAAAAAATTTTGAGAATTTATAAATTCAGAAATCTTATAAGAAAAATTAAAAAATTCTGAGAATCTAAGAATTCTGGGCATTCTGCCAGTCACATAGGCAAAATCTACTAGGATATAGTTATACGCATCAATGTCGCAAAAGATCGGCTAGTAAACTCCTGATCAAAAATGCACATGACACCTGATTATTGGTCAACAAGAAAAAATCATTTGGCAGGGATGCCCTGGCCGAAATTTCACATGATCATGTCTTTCATGATACAGATAATAGATTTTGTATTGTTCTCAACCTTAATTTTATCATTCTTAACCTTAAGCTTGGCAATGCATATCTTCAATGAATCAGCCAATCTGGAATCATCTATTTCGATTTACATGCTTACGTAATATAATAATATGTATGCTTTATATTCAAAAGAAATAAATCACATATTTTCTGAGACCACGCAGTTCCGCAAATTTGCCAAGAAAATTTTTATTGTCTGATGCTTATCTCATACGAAAAAAATATAGATAAATATGTAAAAATAATCGGCCACCAGGGCACTTGGGTAGTTTATTAATATAAAAAACATATTACAAGTCAAATATGAATTAATATTTTTTATTCAGAATTTACAGTCACACTATCTTCTTTCTGTCTATCTGATTTAGGTGTAGACCTGTGAGGGAGTAAGATATATTGACTATCAAAATATTACGCAAGATTAATAAAGTCTCTATAAATTTCGCTACAACAGCTGGTTCTGACTTTTGCACAGAAACCCTTGACTCGTGTAAATGATAATATCTATCTACATTAGCTCTATCCCTGATAAGAACAGTTAGTCGTAACGTAGATCCAGCAACTTGCAACCTAATTACTCCAAATTCATCCTTTTCAGGCCTCTGACCTTTATAAATCCAATAAATCCCATCGTTAGTCTTGCATCATATTTTTACTGCATTATTTTTTATCTTTTGTTCTGTACAAAATAGATATGAACACTTTGTATACATAAATTCGTATTTTTTCCCTCTATCCATCATTACAAATATGATATCGGGATGTCTTTCCGATCGTTTTCTTCTATTTGTACTAGCGATGCTCTGACGCTCATACCTAAAAAATAGTGTAAATAAATTTATAATAGTTCGTCTTAAATAATATTATTTTACTTACGTGCTAATATAGATGAATTTTCCATATGAGAGATTTTTCAAACTAGCTCAAATTGCTGGAACTATTAAATTTGTTAGATATGTTCCTTCATTTAATGCTTCAGCTTCTTCAGGACTAAATGCCGAATTATTCCAAGAATCATTCCTAATGAATTTAATGCTTCTAAGATAAATATACCCATAATTGCAATCTAACAATAGTAAAATAACTTACAGCGTTTC